TTTCACATTGTCTTTTCTGAAGGTTTAGTAACCCAGGCAGAGTGACAGCCAGGAGTTAGAGGACTGATGTTTCTCTTCAAGAGATGGAATCTCGCTGAGTGGTGTCAGGGAGGGTCTTCCTCACAGGATGATGGCTGCTTAGGCAGTGTCTGCGTGCTGGGGGGAGTGCAGTGAAATCTGGGCACGTGGGGGAGGAGTGGCAGACCCCCGACGTGGGGTGAGTCTCTGAGCCTTGGCTTCCTAATCTGTGGAGAAGGGATGGCAGTGACTGTGTGTGTCCCGAGTTTGCACTGTCCTGGATGCCTGTCGCTGCTGCCACGGTCATCTCAGGTCTAGGAATGCCCTGCATTCAAACCAAGGCACCTTGCAGCTTCTGTCCACCTCTGACCTTTTATGGTGCTGGGTTCTGTACCCAGAGGGAGGGTTGTAGCAGCCCCGAGTTTTCTTTGTTAAAGCTTTTTGAAAATTCAAGTTGAAGCATTTAAAAAAAGTTTGTTTATTTATGTAAGAGGCTGAGTGACAGAAAAAAGAGAGAGAAATCTTCCATCCAGTGGTTCACTCCCCAAATGCCTACAACAGCCAGGGCTGGGCCAGGCCAAAGTTAGGAGCCCAGAGTTCCTTGCAGGTGTCCCATGTCGGGTGGCAGGGACACAAGCACTTGAGCCATCACCTGCTGCCTCCCATGGTGCTCATGAGCAGGAAACTAGATCTGTCGCTTGGAGCAACCAAGACTTGAACCAGACTCTCCAGTGTGGGATGTGGGTGTCCTAAGCTGCAGCCTAACCTGCTGCACCACAGTGCCTGCCACAGTTGAAAGCATTTCAATGATAAATTTTAGCTTACAAATTATGTATGTTCCTTTTAGAAATCTTGAAAAATATAAATGGATAGTAAAAAAATAATTCCTCATCCTGCATCCTAACTGTGCATAGACAGGCACACTTAACATTCTATGTGTTTATTTAGTACTGTATATTCTTTTAAAAATTGGATTGATTTTAAAAATTGAATTTATTGGCTGGCACCGCAGCTCACTTGGATAATCTGCCTGCCTGCAGCACCGGCACCCCAGGTTCTAGTCATGTTTGGGGCGCCGGATTCTGTCCTGGTTGCTCCTCTTCCAGTCCAGCTCTCTGCTGTGGCCCAGGAGGGCAATGGAGGATGGCCCAAGTGCTTGGGCCCTGCACCTGCATGGGAGACCAGGAGGAAGCATCTGGCTCCTGCCGGAGCAGCTCGAGCAGCCATTTAGGGGGTGAACCAATGGAAGCAAGACCTTTCTCTCTGTCTCTCCCTCTCTCACTGTCTAATTCTGCCTGTTAAAAAAAAATAAAAAAATTTTACAAAATTTAATTTATTTTATAAATCTGTATTCTGATTTTTGAAGTAGCATAAGACTTTTCCATATTATGAAGGTTTTCTGGGAGTGAACTAGAAAATGGGAGATCCCTCTCCTCTCTCTCTTTTTTTTCTCTCTCTCTCAGCTTCCTTTGCCTTTCAAATAAGATGAAAATAAATTAAAATTAAATGCCTGTGATAGTGATTTGTGCTAGAGACTTGATATCTATATATGTACACATTCACACATACATAAACACATATCCCAGTAAGTAAATAAATTCTTAACCATAAGACCCAAAACTCTAAAACGACTAGAGGAAAGCAGAGGGAAAGGTCCATGGCATTCGATCTGAGCAGTAATTTCTTGGATGTGACCCCAAAGGCGTGGGTGGCAAAAGCAAAAAATAGACATATGAGATTGCATACAAGAAAATCCTTCTCCAAGCAAAAGGAAACAGATGGGATCTCTCTGTCTCTCCTTCTCTGTCTGCCTTAACCTCTCTGTCTCTGACTTTCAAAAAAAATTAAACAATTTTTTTTGTAGTAAAATAGGTCAGGAAAGCAAGGAAGATGGAAGGGGGGATAACAGAACAAGATACTTTTCTTTCTCTGAGGTTGGTATCTGAAGAACGGGGGGTTATTCAGGGTGAGTGCAGACGCGTTAAGGGGCTGTGGGGGCCCTGCCGAGACCCTCGGTGCCTCCCAGGAGTCAGGCAGGAGCAGGAAAGGACACAGGGTGCCGGCAGGTTCAGCGGCATCAGGCACTGAGACCACAAACGCAGTCCTGCAGAGAGGAGGGTGCACCAAGCACCGCCACTGCCAAAGCAAGCTGGGTCCAGCACTTCGGTGCCTAGTACTGTCCCCCTGTGTCCTGCATCCTCAGGACGCCCCCAGGAGGGGAGAACCAGGGTTGACACTTGTGCAGCACCTGCTAAGTGACAAGCGCTGCTCTGGGTTCTCAGGCACGGGGGATGCTCACAGTGAAATAAACAGATTACCAGAGCACCCACCCCGATAGCCCTCCTGTGGTCACTGGGACAACTTCATATGGAAAAAGAATGTCAAGTGCCTTACACCTGGTGCATGAAATGAGCTCCAGGGTGAGAGCTCTTCCTAATTTTAAGATAGAAAATAACTCTACCACCGGCACAAAGAAAGAAAACGTTGCAGGCACCAGAGAAGCATTCCATCCGCAGAGCAGGCATTCAGTAGGCTCAGTGGGCCCAAGGTGAAGCTGAGGCGAGAATGGAAATAGATGCTCTTTAATATCCACAGGCAAACCTGCTGCTGTCACCATGGCCCCACACAGGAGCCTTGCGCACGTTCCCAGTTTCTAGCGCTGGCGGTCATCTGTCACCACTGGGAGCCTTGCCTTGTACAGCAAAAGCACCAGGAATTATTCCTTTTGTATATTCTGGAAGCATATGGTTTGTTTCCATTAATTTAATTCCACATGTAAATGTATGGCAGCTTGGGAGGAAACTAAAGAAAGAATGATGGCTTTAATTTTTCACTAGTAACTGTGTTGCTCTGAGGTGGCTACACCGGGCAGTGTGTTACATGATTATGGTGCTTCTGCCTCCTAAGGGTGACTACACCAAAGCTGAGAATCAGGAGACTTTGGTCCTCCTGCTGGTTCCCCGTGCACCCGCTATGTGACCTTAGTTAGTCACCTCTTCTGCCTTTTCTTCCCCTGTCCATAAAAAGGAGGAGAGTAACATAGGCCCCAGCCATCCTAGGCCTAACTAGAGACAAGGGCCTTTGGCCCTTTGGGAGTTAGACAATCTATGGATAATCTTTCTCGCTCTGTCTGTTTTTCTGCCTTTCAGGCAAACGAAAGTAAATTTCTGGCCGGTGCCGCGGCTCACTAGGCCAATCCTCCACCTGCAGCGCCGGCACACCGGGTTCTAGTCCCAATCAGGGCACCGGATTCTGTCCCAGTTGCTCCTCTTCCAGTCCAGCTCTCTGCTGTGGCCCGGGAGTGCAGTGGAGGATGGACCCAAGTCTTTGGGCCCGCCACCCCATGGGAGACCAGGAGAAGCACCCGGCTCCTGGCTTCGGATCGGCGCAGTGCACTGGCCCCAGCGCACCATCCGCAGCAGCCATTGGAGGGTGAACCAAGGGCAAAGCAAGACCTTTCTCTCTGTCTCTCTCTCTCTCACTGTCCACTCTGCATTAAGATTTATTTTATTTGAAAAGCAGAGTTACAGAAAGAAAGACACACAGAGAGAACTCTTCCATCTGCTGGTTCACTCCCCACATGGCTCCAACTGTCAGAGCTGGACCAGGCCGGAGCCAGAAGCCAAAAGCTAGGAGCTTCCTCTAAGTCTCCTACAAGGGACCCAAGCACTTGGACCACCTTCCATTGCTTTCCCAGGCATACTAGCAGGGAGCTAGATCAGAAGTGGAGCAACTGGGACACAAACCGGCACCCACATGGGATATCAGTGCCACAGGCGGTGGCTCAACCAGCTACACCACAGTGCCAGCCTGAAAATAAATGTATTTAAAGATTTTTAAGACCGACCAGGTGTGGACAAGACCCAGTGGAAAATTAAACTCAAGGTAGGGAAGAGAAGGTGACTGGGCTGCATGTCTGCCAATTGCCACCTGCCAGTTGCTATGCAAGTCACCCACACCCTGCATCACCAGCAGTAAACACCCAGTGGGGCTGCCCAGCACACAGACGACAGACAAGAGTGTTTGCTCCCGGGGTTGCACTGGGACTTGCTGGGAAGAAAGCTGGGGAACTTTCTGGGGTGATGGAAATGTTCTGTATTATATCTTGATGAGGGCTTAGATTACACAATGACATGGGCCAGCATCTGTTGAAACTCATCGGATGAACATGTTAGACCTGCACATTTCAGCGCATGTGCATTTTATCAAAAACATCGAGCTCAGAAGCACTCACAGGTGCTTCTGAAATCCGGAACTTTAGACAAGATACTGGGCGGGGTGGGGGGTGTAGGTAGGAGGCCAGAGAGATGTGTTACAAGGCAAATGCAGCAAAATGCTAAGTATGGAAGCTACACAACAGGCACACAATTGTTTAGATAGGATTCCTGCAAGTCTGCAATGAATACTGTCCTGATAAAAGGCAGGAAAGAAAGGGATGGCTGACACGGGACTGAGTTCCAGAAAAGTTCAAAGGCACAGCAACAGCAAAGGAAACAGCAGCCCAGAAAGGTGGAAAAGCTACACCTTGGGCTTGGCACTGTGGTGCCGAGGGTTAAGCAGCCTCCTGCAATGCTGGCATCCTTCGGAGGTTTGCCCAAGTGCTTGGGCCCCAGCTATCCACATGGGAATCCTGGATGGAGTTCCTGGCTCCTGGCTTCAGCCTGGCCCAGCCCTCAAGTGCTGAATCAGGAGGCGGCCCTGGCTGCAGGAACCACAGGATGGGCCTGTTCCTGTCTCCCAGTCTTCCACTCAGTAACCAGTCTGCTGAGGATCTGACCCCTGTTCAGATCCAGTAATGGGGACCAAGGGCACGAAGGGGTCAGCCTCATGCCTGTAGCATGTGGTGTTTGATCTCCACCCCCACCAGGACTGCACCAAACTAAAGGAAGCTTTGAGGTTTTCTGAACAGTAGCTATGTAAAATATCACTTGTGCAAGGCAACAACGCAACCTTCCCAGGTCTGACGCACTGACCACACCTACCCTTGGTGGGGAGCAGTTTGGAGGTGACCTGCAGTGTCTCCAGGGGTTCCAGGCCAATGTTTTCTAAGGTGACGATGAGTTGATGAGTCTCCCCGTTGAACAGCTGCATAGACATGTTGGTAGATATCTCGTCACCAGAGGAAGGCTGCAATGAGTGTGCCGATCTAAACCAAAAGCAGGGAGAATAAACTGAAGGAAGAAACCAACGCTGTGCAGGAATGATTCACATCAGGGGCCGGTGCTGTGGTGTAGTGGGTAAAGCCGCTGCCTGTAGCACCAGCATCCCATGAGTGCCAATTCAAATCCCAGCTGCTCCACTTCCAATCCAGCTCTCTGCTAATGTGCCTGGGAAAGCAGGAGAAAACGACCCAAGTGCTTGGGCCCCTGCACCCATGTGGGAGACCCAGAAGAAGCTCCTGGTTCCTGGCTTTGTCTTGGTCCCAGCTCCAGTCATTTGGGGAGTGAACCAGCAAATGGAAGATCAATTTGCTTGCTCTCTCTCTCTCCCTGCCGTTCAAATACTAAATTAAAAAAAAAAAAACTGATTCACATCAGGTAAAAGGACGACCACATTTTGGCATTTCAGAAATAGGAGCTAGAGAATCTTGGCTTTGAATGAGAAAATTGGGATCCAACCATGCTAAGAACAAGTCAGGTTCTGTAAGCCAGGCATATGACGCGCCTCGGCTCCAGGCTCCGATCAGAGGCAATGTTTTTTCCCAAACCAAATCCTGAGAAAAAAAACAGCACAACAGGTTGAGGCGATTTCCTATGTGCCATCTGTAACAGCGTTCCTCACTCCTAGGTCAGGGAAGGAAAGCCGATGCACAACCTCCCTGCATGACCCCTGTGCAGCTTGCACATCAGTTGCTCCTAGGGGAAGGTTTCAGGAGGTAACAAAACTCAGCCAGGACTAATCACTGGCCGTCTCGCACAGCAGGGTGTCCAGGCCCTCTGTGCTGCAGGGGACAGGGGAGGAAGGAGGCACCCACAGTGCAGGAGCCCCGGAGCCACGAGGAACGGCATCAGAGTGAGACTGCAGCTGGCACTGCTGCAAAGGCACACTCGGGACATGGCACTGGGACCCAGCTCCCACCAGCAGCACTGTCCTCCTCAGCCCTGCGCTGGCCCCAGAGCCTTCCCAAGGCAGGAACGATGTTTCTGTCTGTTTGCTATCAGCTCCTTGCCATACACCTAGTGTCTAACAGGTACTCACTAAGAATGCACTGAACAGACTGATAAGCACCTCAACTCAGAACCTCCTGTGTGGCATATAAGAGCATCTCAGTCAGTGTCTGCCCGAGCCCAGGACAGAGTGACCACTGTGTGTTCAGCGGCTGCTTGCTTGGTGCCTGGCCTGGTGCAGCATCTCTCAAGGTGCAGGAATGCAGGGGCTGGTGTTGTGGTGTAGCAGGTGAAGTCTCTGCATGCAGCACTAGTATCTCTTAATGGGTGCCGGTTCAAGTCCCAGCTGCTCCACTTCCAATCCAGCTCCCTGCTAATACACCTGGATAAAACAGTGGGAGATGGTCCAAGTATCTGAACTCCTGCCACCCACATAGGAGACCAAAATGAAGCTCCTGGTTCCTGGCTTCAACCTGGCCTTTGTGGCCATTTGGAGAGTGAACCCACAGATGAGACCTCTCTCTCTCTCTCTCTCTCTCTCTCTTTCTCCAGGTGTGTGTGTGTGTGTGTGTGTGTGTGTGTTTCTATGTAACTCTGCCTTTCAAATAAAAATAAATAAATCTTAAAAAAAAGAGACTGGAAGGAAGGCACAGCCCCATTGTGCCCACACACAAGCCATCAGGCCATGGGCCTAGCATCATTCCTCCTGCCAGGCTCTGTGGCCCCCCAATGCCCACAGGGTTCTTCTCTTTTGCATGGCTGACCCACAGGGAGGCCTGTGTCCACTGTGCCATGCGCTGACCTCACTTCTGTCTCTGGGAAGCTGCCTCTCCAGGGCTCTGCATCTGTCCCATTGTGCTGTTTTCAGTCGTATTTCACTCCCTTCCTTACGGTCTGTGTTTGACCATGCTTTGTAAATCCCACACTTTCTATGGAGCCTTCCTGAACCCCACAAGACAGGGTCAGCGTCCCCTCCTCTGGTTCACATTACAGGAGCAGTCAGCAAATCCTAATGATCGCACCAACCCCCTAAACCCCCATACCCCCGACAGGGAGCTCTTCTAAAGGGTCATGGCCTAGGTCAGGGTCCTGGAGCACAAGGTGGTGTTCACAGATGCTGGTGAGTGGATTTCACCAGTCACAGGGACCTTTATAGCAGATTAGTTACAATCAACACCTAATTAATCAAGAGTCACTTGAAAAAAACATTTATTTATTTATTTATGTAAAAGGTAGAATTACAGAGAGAGAGAAAGCACACTTCCATCCACTGGCTCACTTCCCAAATGGTTGCAAAGGCCAGGGCTGGGCCAGACCAAAGCCGGAGCCAGGAGCTTCTTCTGGGTCTCCCACGCAGGTGCAGGGGCCCAAGCACTTGGGTCATCTGCTGCTGCTTTCCCAGGCCATAGCAGGGAGCTGGATTAGAAGGAAAGCAGCCAGGACACAAACCAACACCCATATGGGATGCCAGTGTTGCAGGCAGCAGCTTTACCCACTACACCACAATGGCCAGCCCAGAGAAATAGGGGGCCTTTTGAAAAATATGTCTTATACCATTTTTCAGTAAGAGATAAAAGGCAGCCATCCTGGCCTTCGGTGCCCATGCTGCAGCATGTGTCGGGAGCATGCGTCAGTGCGTCTCCACTGCTCAGCTGCACCCCGGGTATAAATGGGCCATATTTGGTTCCTATGTCAGGGCCCTGCTTGCCTGTCTTGCTCAGTGGCAGCCCAGGTACGAATGTGCCACATTTTGTTCAGCCACTTGCCAGGCAATGGGCATCCAAGTTCTGCCTGCTTTCTGGACTATTACAAAAAATGCAGCTGTGAACATTCATATACAAGTTTCTGAGTCACTGTGTGCTTTCCTCGGCCTTGGGTAGACACCGAATTTCTGAGTCATATGGTCAATTTATGTTCAACATTTGTAGAAACATGGCAAGCGTGCAGGCTTCTCCAGCACCACACATGGCTACCGCCTGTCTTCTGACGACAGCCACCCTGGCAGGTGTGAGCAGGAACCCCACACGGTACCAGCTCCAGAAAGATTGATGATGCCACACACATTTCCAGGTTGCTCGTTAGCTCCTGGGAAGTCTTTCATGGGGAGAGAGCTAACCCATACTTCTGTCAACCTTTCTAATTTAGTTGTTTGCCTTCTTAGTTTGGGTGTTAAGTAGCAGATCCTTACCAGAAACATGATGTACAAATATTTCCTTCCAGCCTGTGAGTTGTCTGTTCATTTTCTTAGTGGTATTTCTGGAAGCACAGCAGTTTTTAATTTTGATGAAGCCCAATTTATCAGTGTTTTTTTCTTTGTGGATCTTGCTTTTGGTGACATGTCAAAGAACTCTTTGGCTAATACAAGGTCGTGAAAACTCTCACCAGCTTTCTTTTCAAAGGCTGGTGCTCTGAGCTCTCACAGACAGGTCTGGGATCTGCTTTAGAATTCATGTTTCCTGCATTTCATTGCATTCCCCAATCACCCGATGCTTTCTCCACCTCTGACAAATGCTCCCAGCTGCCCACTGTGCATGGCTAACTCCTGCTCCCAGCCCCTCACGGCCACCAGTGGGGACCGGAGGGCAGTGGCCATGCTGGTTCTGCCTTCTCCCTCTCTCCTGCTGAACACAGCCTCCCTGAGCACCAGGACCCAGAATGCTGGGTCCACGGTTTCAGCTCTGGCACCTGGCCCACTGCCTAGCAAGAAACAAGCATGTATCAGACACACAAACCAGTTAAAACCTTTTAGAAAATCTCAAACATCCTAAAAATAGCCAAAGGATGTCCAAGAAGTGTCACCCCTGAAGGCAACAACTGAGAACGGCCCAAATCCAACAGCAAGGAAAGGGCGGTTATGCAATCCTGGGATATGCTCAGGCTGTCCTTTTTAAACGCAACTAAAACCAGGTTTTTAAGACTCTGTGAAAGTGTGAGGAAAAGCTTATTAATGTGATTTCACAAAAACTCATCTATGACACCGTGTTCAGACAAGTCTTTTCTAAAGTGGCAGGAAGCACCTCCAAGCATTTATGGTGACTGGCTCCAGGCCTCCCGACAGCCACTTCCCTTTCTCCTTTATGCTTCCCTGTGATGCTGAAAATCTAAAACAAAAATAAAACAATCCCATCTGGGTACCAGTTCGGGTTCTGTCTGCTCTTCTCCAATCAAGCTCCTGGCTAATGGCCTGAGAAAAGCAGCCCATGTGTTTGGATCCCACGCCTACATGGGAGACACGGATTAAGCTCATGGTTCCTGGCTTCAGCCTGGCCCAACGCTCCCCGTTGCGGCCATCTGGAGAGTGAACCAAAGGATGGAAGAGCTCTCACTCACTCTGTGTGTCTCTCCCTCTCTTTGTGACTCTTTCAAAATAAATAAATATTTCTTTAAAAACTAAAATAAGGGCCAGCACTGTGGCTCACTAGGCTAATCCTCTGTCTTGTGGCACTGGCACACCGGGTTCTAGTCCTGGTCAGGGCGCTGGATTCTGTCCCGGTTGCCCCTCTTCCAGGCCAGCCCTCTGCTGTGGCCAGGGAGTGCAGTGGAGGATGGCCCAAGTACTTGAGCCCTGCACCCCATGGGAGACCAGGATATGTACCTGGCTCCTGCCATCAGATCAGCGTGGTGCGCCGGCTGCAGCGCGCTGGCCGCATCGGCCATTGGAGGGTGAACCAATGGCAAAGGAAGACCTTTCTCTCTCTCACTGTCCACTCTGCCTGTCAAACAACAACAACAACAACAACAACAAAAACTAAAATAAAAGAATTCTGTCAAAGAGAAGAGTGATTTTTTTAGATGCCCTAAGATCCTGACTGTTTTTGGAAGAATAATTTCACATTTGGTCCTAGCCTTAGTATGGGAGATCTTGACTGCTCTAATTTGCTCTGGGCAAAACGGATGAACTACTGTGGACTCTCAAGGCCCCCTCCTGCAGATTCTGGGCCTGAGAATTCTGGATGTATGCAGAGCCTGCGCGCCTCACGAGGGAAGGCTCCCCAGGGCTGCTTCCTGCCCGTGGCTGGACACCTGTGCTCACCTGGTACCTGGGCAGGGAGGTGCTGATCTGCAGTCTTGGCAAAGTGGGGATGACTTCCACCGTAGAGCCACTGGTCTTTATTCCCAGGAGGTGGTCCAGCAGGCAGTCACTGACAACACCAAAGATGGTGGTGTGGTAACCTGGGACACAGGAAAGTAGAGACCTCACAACTCCCAGCAAAGTTCCATGCCCCGTGTCCACCTTCCTGTCCACTGCTGAAGTCCCCAACCAGCAAGGGCAACCCTGCAGAAGACCTGGGTCCTGGTGCTGGCTCCGTTACCTGCCAGTCCCTGCCCACAGCCTCAACATCCCTCGGGCTAATCCGTTGTGGTGGGGGTTACAACGGCACCTGTACTCCCATCCCACCAGGCTGACTGGGCCCAAATGGGAAAGCTCCTGTAAGCCATCAATCTCTGCACAACCCGTAGTCAGCATCTCAGCCCGGGACTCACTTGCTTTTCAGATTTATCCATCTCCACAGTGAGGATGGCAGTTAATATTCCCTCCCGGGACATAATGTAATTTAATGAGTATTTGAAAAATGCTTCAGAACCTTCTGTTCAGAGGCAAAACTTCAAGAGCCAATTATTATTATTGCAGCAGCTTCGTGATGGGGCTGAACTGGCTGTGTGTGTGTGTGTGTGTGAGCACTGCCGTTTAAGATGAGCAAATTTCCCACTGGTGAGATAAGCACTTGAAACTATTTAAGCAAAGCTGTAGAACGGCTTTTGAAATTTAGCGAATTATTGTCAACAGCATTTACTGTGCAAGAAAATGAAACCATACCCAGCTGGCTCGAGGCTCAGGTGACAACCTGCCTACACTCGTGTGAGCCTGAGGTGTGCTCAGTGGAGAAGCCAGCATGGCTTTCAAGGGCTCCCGGGGCCCCAGTAGCCTCCTCGGTCCTCCTGAGGTTCCTGCTGGCTGGGAGCTGCTCTCTCAACACCACTCCAGCTCACCCTCCCTCAGAGGGTGGGCTTGTCAAAACACCCCTGCAATGGGCAAAACACTATTCTCCCCACAAATCCATACCTGGAACCAGGGTCTCTCGCATTTCCCTTTCAACAGGAACCTGATATATGTTTCGCCTGCTGAGCAACCACTATTTTATAATCCCTAATTAGAATCAGGCCTTTCCTTACCGTTACTGAAAATGGCTGTCACATAATAGTCTGATGACAAAGACTTGGGGTCCACAATTACTGTGCACAGCAGTACAGGGTCAGCCCATCTAGCTTTGTGCACAAGACACACGAAAGGACAATGCCAACTGCTCTGCACAGAGATGCACAGCTCAGGGACCACTAAGTCCACATAGGTAGTGGAGGAAGTAGAAAAGGATAGGGCACTTGCAAGACAGCAAAGGTAGAGGAACAATGTGTAACCCAGCAGGAAGGCTCGGCAGAGGAGCACAGAGATGGACCACACAGGGCTGGGGAACTCGGCCTGATGACGAGGGAAAGTGACTCCCACTGGTTGACCATGATGCCTTCAGAGGAGAGAGAAGGGTCTCAGAGGAGAGACCGCTTTGGGGAGGGGAGGCAGTACATTTGGATTGGATGTGTCGAACATGCATGTCCCACCCGCTGGACACCAGGGGGATAGCTGGGAAGTGCTGGGGCGCAGGCCAGGGAAGGGTACCTGACCACAGGAGTGGTCAGCAGTCTACAGGGCTGTGAGGCAGAAAAACACTGTGGGGCTGGGGACACCCTCACCAGCAGTGACGTACGGAGGACAGAGAGGAGGACAAGAAACACAGAGCGAGGGGCACCTGTCAGAGGGCTGGGCTGCAAGGGGACACCTGCACGAGACCAGCAAGACTGAGGAAGAAGGGCCAAAGAGACCGCGGAAAATCTGGAGGGTGTGGTGTCACCGAGGCTGGAGGACACAGCTCGCCACACATGCAGGGTGGCAAATGAGCACTAAAGCTCCAAGCAAACCAAGCCATGGGTCCCAGGTTTAGGCAGAAAAACGCCACTAGTGATGCCACAGACAGGTGTCCTGGTGAAGGGATAAGGGTTAAACTCAGGACGCGGAGGGGTGCAGGAACGTGGCACTGGTGGCAGAAGCGACTCAGTGTGCACAGCCAACTCTCCCAAGAGATCCAGCAGAAGACAGGGGCTTCCTGAGAGCACATGGGACATCGTGGCATCAGGAAAGGTCAGGATGCAGAGGTAGGAACCAAGCTGTTGGAAGACTGTCTGGAGGAGGAGGCAGACAGAGCACAGGAAGGGCCCCCGCCCAGCGCAGCAGGAGCCTGGCAGGTGCCAATCACACTCCAACAACTTGCACCACATCCCAAGGAAAGGCAGTCTTTCCCCATCCCTTGATGGACGAGGACTAACGAGATGGGTGAGAGGCTCTGGACCCTGGTGTATGGAACAGCAGTGTGGCAGCCCCTCAACAGCAGCAATCAGAAAAGCCCTTACCGTTCACGGTGATCATTCCAGTCGTCTGTGGGACCCCTACGAGCGTCACCAGGTACAGACCAGACTCGGCCGGAAGGGAGAGCGCTGCAGGGCGCGACTCAAATTCCACTCCACTGGTCAGCAGCCCCTGCAGCAAGGCACAGAGCAACGTGAGCAGGACCAGCCTGCACCGCACACCTGGCAGCCCAGAATAAGGCAGTGGAAGGCTGCGGCTTCTTAGAACCCACAGAGAACTGCAGAGACCATGCACACGTGACGCACGGGGCAGTCAGATCAACAGCCGCTGCCCTTGATTTTGGTCCTCTCTGCCATGTTTCTGATGTTTGCTTTGCTTTCTTCTTGTACCAAATGGGAATATGAACACAGAGGAAAATTTTTATTTTTCTTTTTTTGAAACACTTATATTTATTTGAAAACAAGAGGGAAACAGAGACAAGAGAGATCTACTGTTTTACTCCACTAATGGCTGCAATGGCTGGGGCTGGGCCAGGCCAAAGCCAGGATCAAGAAGCTTCCTCCTGGTCTCCCACAATCTAAAAGATGTCAACAATCACCAGTCAACTATTGGAAAATAAAATGTTTAAAAAAATTAACAAGACACCAAAAATTCCAACTATCTTGGAGTAAATCTAACGAATAACGTGCAAGATTTCATCACAGTTACAGAACCCTGCTGAGATAAATTAAAGAACTCAAGACACAGAGAGTCCTGCCCTGTTTGTGGGGTTCTGCTTTCCACAGTTTGCAGTCAAGGCAACCCTCAAACTCTCAGATCCAGGGCCGGCATTGGGGCGTAGCAGGTAAAGCCTCTGCCTATAACACCAGCATCCCATATAGCTGCTGGTTTGCATCCTGGCTGCTCCACTTCCGATCCAGCTGCCTGCCCATGTGCCTGAGAATACAGCAGAAGATGGCCCAAGTGTTTGGGCCTCTGCCACCCATGTGGGAGATCCAGACAGAACTCCTGTCTTCAAGCCTGGCTCAGCCCTGGCTTGGGCGGACACTTGGGGAGTGAACCAGCAAATGGACTCTGTGACCCAACTTTCAAATAAATAAATAAATAAATAATCTTTAAAAAAAAACAAACCTCTTTTATCTGTGGCAGGACAAGGCATGTAAGTGGGTGTGCTGAGAGGAAGGGTGCAAACATGGAACGCAGGAAGGCAAGATGCCGGGCCTCGGTGTGAGTTCAGGATGTATGAAACCTGCATGCACAGATGTGTGCGTGGTGTAGACAGCTGGGTGTGTGGAATGCACATACACTGTGTCTAACTCTGTGCACAGGAGACGCCAGCAGCAGAGACACTCTGGGGGCAGTGAGCACGCCTGCCGCCCACATGTGAGGCAAAGGCGTGAAGTGATCTGCGTGTGTGAGTGTGGAGGGGGTGCAGTGGGCAGGATGCACTCAGTGAAGCTGATCGCATGCCTTTCATCTCTAACAGACACACTGGCCTCTCTGTCTTCTTAGAACAACCAGGGCGGTGTGGCCACCGCTGCCTGCCTGAAATGCGGGTGGTGTGTGCACGTCTGAAGTGTTCCATGAGTCAGCTTTCAACACAGCACCATGGTATGCTGGCTATATCCAAGTGGTGGTTTTCTCTTGTCTAAGTCTCTACCCTTCCTGATTTGTTAAAATATGTAATTTATTACTTTTAAACCAGGTAAAAATGCTACTTTTAAAATGAAAAAAAAATGTATAAGAAACAGCAGCAATCATCTGACACTTTAACTACTTTGTGGTAAATTCCCCCCTTGGATTCCAAGAGCCAGACAGCCACAGCAGAGGCTGACCATGGCCATGTCCTGAGGCCAGTGAACCCTTGTGCAACAGTTGGGGGAACACTGGTCCTCAGTCAGTCTCAGGACTGCTGGCTTAACACAGGCTTGGGGAGCAGTCACATGCAGCAGGGCTGCCCAACAGTCCTGGCTTGCGGAAAACTGTGGCTCCACCAGGCAGTCTGGCCCAGCCAGCAGGGGCGTCTCTCCCAGGCAGGCGCCATGCATCCCCAACACAGCTCATTGTGTTCACACCAGGGATAAGGCCTATAGGCCTTTGTATCCCCCGGGTCCCACGCACCCTGTACCTGGCACAGGGCATGGCCTTCAGTGAGACACCAGCAGGAAGAGCCTGGTTCTCACCTGGAACACCAGTTATGAAACTGGACGCAGTACAGAGAACCTTGGGAACGGATCCCATGGTAGTCTGAAGGCAGCACAAGTCCCCCAAACAAGTATGGACCCAGGGCGTGAATCTTCCACACCCTACATGGTGCAGTAACACAGCACCTCTCTCTACAGCTCCCCCTGCGCCTCAATCCCTGTGTCACCTCACAGCAGCACAACAATCTCCAGTAAGCCCCTGTGAACTCCAAAGTGCTGACTTCCAATCTCACAGCCAATGGGCAAAGCTCTGTGCGTGTACAAGCCCAAGGTTGCTCTGTGCTCTCTACTCGGCAGCAAGCATGAGACACGGTAATGACAAAACACGGACTTCACTCACCAAACGCTTACTATCTTGGGCAAAGCAGACATGTGTGCCAGAATTAGTGCCTCTAACAATAAGCAAAGACACATTTTAGTGACACGTTGGAGTTCCCGGTCACAGAGGCCCCTGGCGGTGGTACATACCATGTTCTGCACTCGAAGCTCAAACAGCATGGGGTTGTACACCATCAGCTGGACTTCACACATGTCCCCTTGAACCCACTGGAAATCTAGGCACACACACAAAAGAACCCTGGGGTTAGCAGGTAGTTTTGAACTTCTCATGGGGTTTCAGATCAGCCCGCTGACGATTTTCTTCCCACAAAGGTGGTGGCCGCCATGCCCATTGTGAGTTGGGAAGTTCAGAGCTTGGTGTGCCCTGCTTTCTCTGAAACCACGCAAAGCAAGGTATCGCCACTATCCTGACGCTACACACAGGGTGCCTCGTCCACCCTCTGTAGGCTGCGCTCCCGCTGGCACCCCAAGGCCACCTCACAAAGCTACAGCTGGACCTGGTGTGGCCCCTTACGGCACACAGCACCCCAAGGGCCCACAGGCTCTCAATGCAAGAAGAAGGCTGGGGTCATTGGCAAGAGGCCCAGAGTGTGGGTCACCTGTGCCCCCAAGACCATGACTTCTCCACCCAGCCCACCTCCTTGTCAGTTGTAACTCAGCAGCTGCTGGGGAGACAGCACAGGATCCTGCACAGGATCCAGGACCAGCTCCACCACACCTGTGATGATGACCGGGAACTGGCATCTTGGATCCATTCACAAGATGATGGCACAGAGTAACACAGTGCAGGACCGACTGCCACCTGGTCGGAACCAGCACTTGTCTTATTTTATGAAGAAGGAAAAATCTTCCTGACAGGTGGGGCAGCCTGCCCATCTTAGGCCCTGATAAATCATTGCTCAGACTCAAAACACAAGGCTGTCAGCTCTGGAACCCATGCTCTTTCTCCCTCCACTAAGCTGCCCCTCAGTAGCTCCTGGGACTCAGGCTGCCCTCTCTCTGCAGGGGTCTGACGTCAGCCTCTGATAAGCTGCAGGGGCTTCTCCACAAAGGAGCCAGGGCAGCTGTGCTCATCCCACCTGACCCCTCCGCCCTTAGCAGCCTCCCTTGGCCTGCAAGGGACTGGCACCCCAGCCCACCCCCAACCAAAGATGAGGAACTCATTGTCTCTCTTTTTTTTTTTTTTTGACAGGCAGAGTGGACAGAGAGAGAGAGAGAGACAGAGAGAAAGGTCTTGCTTTGCCATTGGTTTACCCTCCAATGGCCACCGCGACCGGTGCACCACGCTGATCCCATGGCAGGAGCCAGGTGCTTCTCCTGGTCTCCCATGGGGTGCAGGGCCCAAGCACTTGGGCCATCCTCCACTGCACTCTCGGGCCACAGCAGAGAGCTGGCCTGGAAGAGGGGCAACCAGGACAGAATCCGGCACCCCAACCGGGATTAGAACCCGGTGTGCCGGCACCGCAAGGCGGAGGATTAACCTAGTTAGCCATGGCGCCGGCGGAACTCATTGTCTCTTAAACAGTCCCTTATGCCTGGTATCACAGATTCGTACTCTCTCATGGTCAAAAAATGATCAATGTGCTTTCCAGGGTGCCGAAAAGAGTAATTTGTACTTTGACGGCCTTCATCCACTATAGGTAAGTCTAAAGTCAATCTTTAGACTGAGTCTGTGAGAAGTGATTTTTGTCAGAAACAGACAATCCCCTGCCCGTGCCCCTGCCTCAACAGTCCCTCCCTGAAACAGCAAGGGAGCAGGAGTCAGAGGCGGTGAAACCGGCTGTCTCAGGTTCCGCCCATCCCCTGCGCCCATTATCATCTGTGCAGACAGGTGCTTCTGTGGCCACGTTTGCCTCTGCCTGTGGGAGGAAGCGCTCCTGATTGCCTGCTGCATCCCAGTACCGAGCCCCAGGCACACGAGTGCCAGTACAAACATCATCTACAGGGACATCAGGAACTCTCTAATCTGACTCTCAGCACAATGCTCCCATGAGCTCCCAGTGTGCCCACAGCATGGAGGGCACACGTGCAGCCCAGGTGGCCCTGTCGGCTGTCCAAGGTCACATGGTGGGAAGTGGGGGTTGCAGGGCTAGGCTGCAACCCAGGCTGCCACGTTCTGTCCAGGCCACCCTGCCTGGCAGCAGTGACCTCAGATTGAATCTGGGATACCACAAGGTCCTTTCACAAGAGGGAGGAATCTCTTCACCCCTCCAGGCCTTGCCTGGGACCTTGGTTGCCATCATCTCTGCTCAGAGCAGGGCCCAGACGAAGCCTGCACACAGGCACTCAGGCCAGGAATCAGTGCAGGCGGAGGGCAGGTGGTGTCAGCACTGGCCCTCAGGGTCTGCCTCACCTCCAGTGCCCAGTTAAAGATGGACTTACAGAGACTAGAATCTCAGGCAAAAGGGACACGAGTCTTCACACTATAGGCAGAAAATTGTCCAAAAGATATCAGAAGTCGTGGAACACAAAGTACATTCTCCTACCCATGAGTATTCAACAAATAATATGCATCTCAGCTGAACCTTCTGTTATAGATATTTCAGAAAAAACACAACGCTTGACATTATCCACTGAATATATGAGCAGGCACTTCTTACTATGATGCAAAACTGTATCACAGAGGACAAGGGTGGAGGGCGTGTGGCATGGCGGTTCAGACACCACTTGGGATGCCTGCATCCCATATCAGAATGCCTGGGTTTCAGTCCCTGCTCCACCTCCAATTCCAGCTTCCTGCTAACGTGCACCCCGGGAGGCAGGAGGTGCAGTTTCAGCTTCCTGCTAACACGCACCCTGGGAGGCAGGAGGTGACAGCTTGGGTACTCAGGTCCTTGCCACCTGGATCATTGAGTTCTGGGCTCCCATCTTTGAACTGGCCCAGCCCTGGCTGTTGTAAGCATTTGAAGAGTGAACTTGTGGATGGAAGATCTCTCTCCACGTCTCCCTCCCTCCCTTGCTCTCTCTCTGTCTCTCCCTTTCAAATAAAATGAAAAGTAAACAAACAAACTGCAGTCCCTGAGTGCCGAGTTCTAAGCCGAGGAAAGGAGACAGGGCCCAGCCATGCCCTGGCTGGCTGGCTCAGGGCAGGTGATGTGCACCCCTCAGTTTCCACCCTCTCCGTGAACAGGCACCTGCAGCATCAGCATCCCACCACGATGAGAACTCCAACCTGGTGTCGGCTTTGGGTCTCATTCACAAAAGGAAGCCTCATCAATTGCTGAAGAACAAAGAACAGTAATGAGGCTGGATGCTGGGCACGAGCCACAAGGGCAGAGACTCCAAGCCAAGCTCCAAGGCCTTGAGTTTAAGGCTCTGATGTCACTGTCTTTGAATCCTTAATAATGTTGTAACCAGGGGCTCCCCGATCCCCTGCTGTGCTGGGCCCTGTGGATCACACAGGTGGCCTCAAGAAGAGGAGCCTGGCCTCCAGCCCCTAAGCCCTCTATACAAGTCTGCTCTAGAGCCTCTCTGGCCCTGCCTCCCCAGTGCACAGTCTTTGCTCAGGCTCAAAGGGGAGGTACCCAGGAGCACCTCTGCCACCGACATCCTGTCTCCCTGTTTGACTTCCTATGCACTTCTCCAGCCTGCACGAACTGGGTGGGTAGGGGCAGGCTGCACCCCTCTGGCTTAACTCAGTGCAGCCCAGTGTCAACGTGCTTGGAACACTTACACTAGCCAGGAGCTGGGCTCACATGATTTACTGAACACTGACAGCAAAGGACAGAATGGTGTATAGGTGGCTGCCACACCACCATGAAGCCATGACGCTGTACCTGAGCCCTTAGGAGCCAGGCATAATCTGCAGCTAACTGGGGCCCACACCAGGTGTGCATGCACATTAGAGCAAACCAGAGAGCACCCCTGGGAGCGGGACACTTGGTCTAGGGATGTGTGAGCCCAGCTCTTGGCTTTGCCACTAAGCAGCTAAGTAACCTGTAGGAAACCATCTCTCTGAGTCTGTGTTTTTCTGTCTATAAGAGGAGATAAAAATCAACTCCTCCAAAATTAATGCGGCAACTAAAGGCACAAAAATACGAGCCAGCCTCTTCTCAAGCAGCATCTGAATGAAGAAGTGATCTCCAGGGACAGAAAGCACAGGTCTGTCTAGGACTCCCACCTTGGTCTTGCCCTGTAGCTGAGCAAACAACTTTACTTCCAAAGACGCACTGTTTTCAGGGAGTTCTGACAACATGCAAATTGTTGGTGATGTTTACGGTGAGGCCCTACTAGGAGCTGAGGCCAGCTGGTGCTGGAGTTACAGGAGGAACACTACGATGATGATCTCCACACAGCGCTCCCGTGTCCTTTCTGCGGGGAACAACGCGGCACTGCGGACAGCACAGACTGAGCAGCGAGGCCACTTCTCCTGGCAGTGAGGTCCTGGACAAGCCCTGTCCACTCCATTCACTCTTTCATTGTGCTGTAGGCATTGGGGACAGGACAGGGAGCAGCACAGAGCTCCAGGCCTCTTGCTACATTGTGGGAGGGAAGCCATAAAGAGGCAAATGTCTAATTGAGTTAAGGAAAGGCACTACCGAGGGGCAAGCTAGGGATGCTGAAGGCAGGGTGGCCTCCAGAGTGCTGGGAGCAGCAGATTTCCCCTCTGAGAAGACGATATTTGAACAGAGACCCAAGCAGCGTGACTGTGAGTGAGGCAGCGACAGCAGTGGGACGAGGTCCATGCAGAGACCAAAGCTGTGGGACTGGGACAAGTCATGTGTTCAAGGACCAGAAAGGAGTCATGTGGCTGGATCTGAGAAGCAGAGGTGAGAGAGGTGGGGGGGTCAGGACAGGCAGGCAGCAGGGGTGGTATGTGAGGCAGGGCCCCTAAGGAATGAAGGTGCCTTTTCCCTATAAGGAGGCACAGCAATCAAAAACAGAAATAAAGAGGCAGCACAGAAAGTGCTGAGGATCAAAAATCGAGAGTGAGAGAGCTGCCAGCAGCCTTGGGCCTCCACACCAGGAGGGGACCAAGGGCAGTCGGCCTCTGGGCAGGGCCTGGCCTTCCCTAAACTCGGGCTCCTTGTCTAGGAAATGCAGGCCCCTGCCCCTGTAGATCTGTCATGCGGACGCACAGGCCAACCAGCATGACAGGCAATCCCCGCCCCACATGCAAGGGGACCCTGGTATCTGTCTCCAGGGCAGTGAGGGAGAGAGCTCGAGCCATGGCCAGGCCTTGCAAAGGACACCAGAACACAGGACAGGGAGGGCC